TTATGTATAAAAGGAATATCTTTTGACATTATAGTGAAGCTAGATCTGTCTGAGTGAGATGCATTATAACAAGTTCTGACTGTACTTCTGGGAATGTCTACACCTAAGAATTAAACCTTTAGTTCTCAGTCCAAAGTCAACTTTAATAAGTGGGGTTATTTATATTGAAAACAAGATTATTTTCCATACTTTTGTTCTTTCCATAATAAAACTAATGATTACACCTTCGTATAAGAATTGTGAAAAGAAACACAGTATAATAGGTAAAGAACACATTTGCTGTTTTTATTGGTGCCTTGCATGGCAGTAATACTGAAAAAGGAGAATGAAAAAAAAAAACAAAATAAACAAAAACCAAAAACAAAAACAAAACAGGTTGGTGGCAACCCACATCTTTTTTTTAAGAGTACATAAACTCCTGTTTTATTTTTATTGTGGCATGAATGATAACATAAAACCAAAAACATGAAAATATACAACTTATATTACACTATGTGTTATGAACAAAATATAAATCTATAACTCTATGTTATATTTACATAATTATTTATTTTATTAAATTTCAAGTGAGATGGTAGGTTGCACATACTTTGTTTTAAGCTCCAGGCATTTGATTGTCTCTTTTCTATTTTTTTTTTCCATTTTTACTTGTAAAATCCAAAATGTTAGACTAAGAGCTTTAGAGCCAGTGGAGCTACATAAATACTGTTTTAGTGAACCAGTGACAGAAACACTGGGGAGGACAGGAATCAATCAGTAGGAAACTCAACACATCATCTTCAACCTGGGAAATCGATAGTTAGGAAACTTTAAAATTAAATACTGTAAAAGCCTGCTAAACAAACACTATGCCCTACAAGACAAAGAGATATCTGAACCACTTTAAGTGGGCTTCATAGTTTTCCTTGTAGACCCCATATTTTTATTTTACTATTAACTTGATAGACAAATATTTTATAAACCTGTTTTTAATATACAGTTGTTTATTACAAATTCAATAATTTACCCTTTAGAATGAATGAAAGTGTAATTATTTTTGATGTTTTTAGTGTGATATAAGAGGTTTCTTCTGGGAATAGTAACAACTTCTAGATTAAGAAAATATCTGAAATCAGACCATAAAATGGTTAGAGATAATTTTCTTTAAATGAATTAAGCAAAAATTCTACTCCAGAAATCAAATCTATAAAATAATTTCACCAAAAAAACCCCTTTTTTATATTTGTTCCTTATAAGAGGATTTGGTTTCAACAATGATGATTATGTTCTTTGGGAGGGATTTTATACATGATTAACTCTTAACTGCAGATGCCAAATAAACTTTAAAAATGGACTTAACTAATTTAAGTATAAATGTACTGAAGAATAGTTTTATATTTTATGCAATTATAGTAACTAATCAAATTATTAATAACTTATAAATGAGCAACTGTAACTTATTTTCTCCAGTGATGCTTAGATTCATATTAAAACATGACTACTTTTAGAGGAACTGATTACAACACCTATAGAAACCATGATTCTGTCTGGCACGATTATTCTTCAGTGTTGGGGTGAGAGAGAGAGAGAGAGAGAGAGAAAGAGAGAGAATGTGTGTGAGAGAGACTGAGAGAGAGAGATTTGAGAGATAGAGATACAGGGAAGTGAACAGGTAGGTAGGAAAAAAGAGGAGGGAAACTGTTCATATGGACTTTAGTCTGATCTTACTCTTATTTCTTCTACCTTATCATTTTTGGTCATCATGGGGCACAGAAAAAGAATACAAAGTTTTAGGATCCTTTACCCAAATCATAAACCAATCAAAAGCCAAAAGGCAATGTGTCAACACAATAAGTTGCTATTCACAGTGCCTTTGATCAAGTGACTTCAAAGCACTGTAAATATTCATATAATTATTTTTGTTTCTGTTTTCTTTTGGGGAAAACTAGAGCAAAGAAATTTTAACACCCAGTGAATTAAATGTCAGAACAAGAGAATATAATGCAGGGCTGTGGACTTGCATTTTGTTTCAGTCCATACAAACTTAAGTCTCGGACAGAAACCTAACTAAATAAAATTAAGTTCTGAATTTCACCAGTTAAAGGTCACCATTAACAATTCTGTTTTCCCCTTCAAATAAAACGAAATAAAAATTGAACAAAAAGACTAAACAGAATTGTTTTGCCAATTCACTGGTAAGTATGTTAGAATTAGTTTCAGTCATGAATGCCTTCAATGGCATCTACCTGGAGCTAAAACAAAGTATTCTTGTAGCCCAAAAGTCATGAAATGAAAACAAAGCATCTTTATAACATGGTGGAAAGTAAGTACCCAGCAAACGTGAGAGGTGAACCCACATAAATCAGAAGGAATTTGTTAACAAAGACAAAGAACAATTTTTTTAAAAAAAATCTGTTTTCACATTGTACATAATAATGATATAAAAACAAGTGTCTACTTTTTTCCTTATCCAGAGTGTTTAAAAACAAAACTAAACAAACAAAAACAAAAACTTGGCTCTAGATGACTGTGACAATTAAATAACTAAAATGAGTGATGAGAGCATAAGTTATTTAAGATGGAATACGACCCTCCTATTAATTCACTCCTTTGTACTAAACACCAGAACTGATATTGTTGGAGCCAGAATTCTTAAAAAGGAGAAAACTTATGGAAGGAGAAGTAAAACCCTGGGTGAATGTGCATGTGTGTGTATGTTTGTATATATATGTGTGTGTGTGTATATATATATATGAGCTGGAGATGGACATTTGTTTTAAATATCTAACAGCTTATTGGCTGCACTTCCAAATCAGAGCAGAATAAAATAGAAAGGGAGAAATAAAATAAATTATACATAACTTACTAATCTGGGAACAGCTGACCATTATTATTATTATTATTACTATTATTATTATTTTATCATCATCATTATTACAACACTAGCAAAAAGAGGCAGTTTAAATGAAAATACAGTCATCAAAAAACAAACAGAAAAACAGACAAAACGAAATCTCTGACATGCAGAATATGATCAGCTCCTCCAAGCAAAACCCCAGAGCAAGTCTTTTGAGAGAGAGAAAAATAAAAAAGGATTTTTTTATTTATATGTGAAAAATTAAACTTTAGGGTGGTATTTGGGGGGTGAGATAGGAAAATGACAACTGGAGTGAAAACCATAGCACATCCAAGCTACTGGTTGGAGTATTCACTATCTGATGCCTCAACACAAATAATGGCAACTGACTTGAAATGATTTTGCATTAATTTGTATAGGCCCTACAACTGCCTTGGCGTTTGGCTGGCAAAATGGACATAAGCAGTCCCATCCCCATTAGTTGTTGCTCTTCGCACATACTCTGTTGGAACCAAAATTGGACTTCAGTGGATTTGTTTCACAGCAAAGGAAGAGTAGTGGCAAAAATCCCTGTGTTCAACCCGGCTCCATTTTGTTGAGCTGCAGTGACTTTTAATCAAATCCTGCTTTTTGTGGCGTGAAATGCACATGGCCCACATTTCTGAAATGCAAAAGGCCTCTACTTCATTTCATGGAGGGATGAAAAATACCTTATAAAATCATCAGTTCCATTTCCTGGTCAGGAAAGGATGGAATGTTGAAGAAATAAGCTTATTTTATATTTCTGGAATATGGCCAAATATATTCATTTAAAACAATGATTATTTTGCTTGAAGTATCAACAGGAAAAAACAACCAAAAATCACTAAGTAGCAAACATTAGTGGAACCAATTGACCAGGGAGAAGGGACATCTGGGAGCAGTTTGCTAGTAGCTTCCATGTTATACATGCACACCTCTATTACACAGGGCCACCTGATCCATCCAATAATCATCATATTAGACATTTAAAAATATAATTTCTGAGCCCTATACTTGGTTAAATTGTCATTTGAAGTGCAAAGTCAAGGTCAAGATTACTTCTAGACCAGTCACTTAGGAGGATGTGGGATTTCATCCCCAGATGTGGGTTTAACTCACAATGGTCCAACGTTATTTCTATTAGTACCATAATCACACACATACATACACACAAAAATCCAAGATCAGAAAATATTTTTTTTTCTCTAAATTTCTTATGTCTCTCTCTCTCTCTTTTCACCTGAGAACAGCACCTACAGTTCCATTAAAAAAAAAAAAGTCAAATCTCACCAGCTGCTGGTATTTCAGGTTTTTTTCAAGGGATTGTCTAAGATATAACACTGTCCTAACTTAAGAAGGAACAGGAAAAAAAGGAAAGGGAAAAAATGAAATTGGTCAACCCTTCAGTACAAATTTGGCACTTGCTCAAAGATGTAGTGTGGTGTGCAATAGATAAAGAAAGTCCTCTAAAGAAAATAATTGCTTATTTTGTGGTGGATAGCAAGGAAGTTAAAAACAGGCTCTTTTTCCCTCTTCCCCCCCATGCACAGACTTCCATCTTTAAAGTATAGAGATGGAGAAGGTGGAGAGAAGTAAAGAGAAATTCATCTTTCTTTTTCTGTCAGGTGCATTATAAAAAAAAAAAAAAAGAAAGAAAAGAAAAGGAAAAAATAAAACCCAGAAACCCCAAAAAACAAAACAAAACTTATTTCTTTTTAAAAATTGTAGCACAAAACAACAAAACACATTCACAAGCCACTTGTTGGCACTGTGTACCTGAGTGAGAATTTCTAGAACATTGTAGAACAAACAGCCATAAAGTTTATTAAAAAAAAAAAAAAAAAGTTGACGGGTAAGACTTCAGTGCTTGGATGTAGCAGCTGAATTACTGGCATTATTTTACCCATAGCTTATTTCAATCTCTTGTTGTTGATATTGTTGTTTGCTTGTTGTATTTTTTTTTTTTTCCTTTCCAAGCCTTTTGAGGCTGAGGTCTATTAGTCAGCTGATGTCCCAACTATTTAAGACTAACAGTTAAAGTAACAGTCAGTGTATGAGAAAGTTAATGTGCTTGGCCACTGGTAAGGATGAACCAGTTAGGGCTTCTTTAAGTCCTAAGGTCATGACAATCTTTTGACCCTTATCAGTTGGCTTGTCCTGCAATATGGTTTTCACTGTCACTCCCATAATCTACATCCGGGTCATCCTCTTCCTCATCGTACTCATCATAAATTTCTCCGTTGATGTCCTCAGCCTGTATCTCTTCTTTGATATGTGGCTCCTCTCCTTTTACGCCATAAGTGCTCTGGATAACAGGCATCCCAGGCTCTGGGCTGCTAGACACGCTCGAGTGCTCTGAGGGCAGGTGAGGGGAGGGCATTCCAGCCATGGTGATGGCTCCCGGGTACACGACACCAGCGGTGGCAATGGGGATCTGTGCTTGTTGCCTGTGAAGAGAAGAATTCCCAAAGACGGGGTCACGGGTGAGTGAATAGTGAGATGTGCACCTTACTATATGATGCATTTGCTCAGCAACGTCCAGCTCTAAGGATATAATTTTCACCCAGTTGCCTAATGCTTTCCAAATTGCATCCTACTTTGATTCTAATACCTTGCTTCTGAATGGCGCTTCAGAGACTGCAAAGACATTTACATGTATTGCCCGTCTGATTCATAAATAATCCTAATTCGTTGCTATTCTATTTTGTGGAAAACAGAGGCACAGAAAGAAGCAGAGAATGCAAGTACTCAACTCCAAGTTCACTTTTCCTTCACTATGACGTACAGAAATAGTGTTTCTTTCCTAGAATTAAATCTAAAGATAATTCCATTTTAATGAAAAAAACTCTAGAATATTAGAGCTCTCTAAAACTTTGCAGCCCAGAACACACCAGAACTCAACAATATTACCCTGTCCCCCTAGTCTCTGAGACAGTTGTAGCCCTGTGGTGGTAGGAAGCAGAGCCGGCCTCGTGGATGAACAATCTGTGCAACCGCACTAAGGCCTCATAGTGGGTTAAAAGTTGTGTTGTCGGTCTTGACATTCTTAAGACATTTTTAAGAGACCTCCGTCTTCTCACTTTTGCACTTGGCCCTATAAATTAGGTAGATGTTCCTCGTAGGAAGGGATTAATAGATGATACTCATTCATGCTTTCTTTCATTCATTCATGTTTACTGTTTACTCAAGAAGTGTTGGGCTTTGTGGTCAACTTTGTGAAGAGTCATGTGCCCAGATGTAAGTCATAGACCCTTGGACAGAGCATGCAGCCTCTTTCAAGGAAGTGGAGGGGACAGGGCAGATGGGAAAAGCTTTTTTTCTAAGTTATCTTCCGACCATATTTAGAACAATATTTATCATTCTGGGAAGCTCTCAGGATCTTACTAAGTTCTGTCTCAAATATGAGCAACTGTTTTTGTTTTTTTTTCTGTGTTTTTGAGAGAATTCTGCAGAAGCAATGTGGCTGCAGGTAGCATATTACAACATTGTCAACAGCCGTGCCACAGGAAGCCCTGCAAAACATCCTGAGCATTGCCTTCTTAATTCAGAATGGAACTTTCCCATTCACAACCTTGATGTGCCCTAAATATAATTCCTACTTTGTGTCATCCATGAAGGCCACACACGTGCCTTGACTGCTCAGTAATCCATCTACATTTAGAAATATGTGCTCCTTTCTTTCAAAATCACTGTTACATTGTATCATCTCAACTAAGTTGTCAGTTATAAAACTTGTCATGGTGAAGCTTTGGACACAATGAAAACCAACCAGGAAAAGAGCCAGTTATACTTGGAAGTTTTCAACAGCAAACTTCAAAGTTATTTACTTGCAGATACATATTTTTTTAAAAAAAACAGTTGTTAACAAAGCTCATGTTAGAGCTGGGAGCTTGCAGTAGATTTATACGGATATATTTTTTTCAAGATCATGTGAAAATACTTCATCCCTGAAAATACACTGAGTTCAGGTTCTTTTCAAAATGCTGCTTTGCAACTAAACAGATATGTTTCACACCCCACTAAGTATAACAGGAAGTTTTCCCCGTGAAAACAAAAAAGACTGAAAAGTCCATACCCAACATTGAAGTATTGCCGCATTTCCTGCCTCCTGTTCCGCATGATTGCCTTGTATTCGCCAATGCGCAGCTTTTTGCCATCCACGAGGCAGGTGCGCTTCGGCCTGGGCTTGTACTTGTAGTCAGGGTACTTCTCCAGGTGCTGCTTGCTGAGACGGGCTTGCTCCTCATAGTATGGCTGTTTCTCTAGGTTTGTCATAGCTTTCCAGCGAGATCCTGTAAAGAGAAGAAGGTGAGGATTCCAATTCGCACAGCTTCTAAGCATCCTAAAAAGAGAGATAACTGAGAACAAGAAAAGCTAAAGTAAAAATGTTGGCCCCAACCCAGAAATATACCCAAGCCTGTTTTTGATTAGAAAGCTTTGACTCACAAGGTGAGATCCCACATGAACAGAAGTGTTGGTGGTTCTATACTCAAAGAAACTGTGTACCTACAGATAGGAACACTAGGTATTATATATATATATATTTTTTTTTTTTTCTGGCTTGAATGATCAGTTTAGACAAACTTTTATATTATGCACTTAAAAACTCATAGATAATTTAATGGATACATCTGTTACCTCTACATCTAGACCATGATGTAATTGAACCCTCAACAGAAAAGTTATACAATCATTCATCACATATTTTGAATCTAAGACTATAATGGTTTGTTGAATATTTTTATGTGGGGGTGCATTACTTACTATACTATAAAAGTTGCTAATATATATCATATGTTCTCATTTTCCCCAAAATGTTTAAGCATGTTCAGCTTACAGGAATGGTTATAGTAAATTCACTTCATTCAAATTTAATTATAATTAAAATTATACATTAATGAACATGGACTAGGTAACTACTATGTGCTAGATACTGTGCTATAAACTTTACATATGTTGTTTCATCTCTTTCACAATACTGTAAGATAGATGGTATTTATACTCGTAGATGAGGAAACTGAGCTTCAAATAGATGAAGTAACTTACTCAAGATCACACAACTATTAAATTACAGATCTGTGACTAAAACTCAGGCTTGATAGAATTTAAAGTGTGCTACAATGTGTGTCCTTGCGTACCTAGACCCGCCTACTTTATATAATCTAGTGCAGGTCAGAATTACAATAAGTGTGTGTAGCGAGTAAGAATTTCCTCTTGATAAATCACTTTGAATAATATTTACAGACACTGCTTCTCATGATAAAGTATGCATTAATAATAATCACCCAAATTGTTTTTCCCCTTCTTTTTACTATTAATTTTGGTGTGGATTCCATTAGGATTTACAAAAAAAAAAATAAGTTTGAAGCTTAACTAAAAAGAGTTTACAGCAATTCCCATTTTAGATGTGGTTTAAAGCTTTGATTCTGTCAGTATGGCTATGTGTAGTAGTAATAGAAGTAGTAGTAATAGTATTTGCTTTTTAATTTACACAGACTTAAAAAATCTATTTGCAGATGAAGTGTGTTTATCTGCAAATAATCAGCTCAACTTGACCTAAATGTACAGAGAGCAAAAACTGGAACTATGAGATCCCTACCAAACATGTACTGGTACTGGTGCCTTTACCTGCCTTCCAAAGTCATCTAAGTAAGGTCTTTGAAGCTTTCAAATGGGTTCATTACTCAACCATAACTCCGTATTTCAAATGTAAATAGCTCGCTGTTGACCAGTTCTTCCTTACACATGTAGAGAATTCCTTAATGTGGGCTGCTATATTTATTAAAGCATGCAGTGAAATTTCATCAGAATTTTTTGCCTATTGTAACAGATGTTACTTAGGTGGGTATATCCACAGAGGTGTTACAAAGATTTATAAATACAGATTTTTCTTCCAATCTAGACAGTGAATATGAATTTATTCTATTTATAATAGAAACTCAGGGTACAGGTCAAATATTACAGTTTCTTTTTCTATTCCTTTTTCAAACTTCTGTTTAAATAGCATCATACAACATGAGGTCAGTTAGTCAAGCAATATCATTTGTAGATACAATCTTAAAGTCCTTATTTGCCCAACATTACTCTCTAAAGGTACCTGAATACCTTTATGTTGTTCTCAGGGCATACAGAAACACAGATAAGATTATAACACTATTGAACTAGATCAAAAATCACGGAGTTTCTTGCAAGTATATACATACTAACTTTTTGAAACTCAGATCAGGGAGTGGAAAAGTGAGCTTGCCAGCAATAACTTATTAACGAACAGGAATACATTAATTATGGATCAAGGATGACTGACTTGAACTGAAATATCAAATTTACTACCTTTATCCCAAAATTGAACAACAAAAAATCAGCATTCTCACTTACAATAGGAACTGCCAAAGATTCTTCCCTAAATTTAAATGTTCTATAAGTACAAAAGGATTATGTTTCTCTAGGGAAAGGACACATTTCTGCCTTGAAGTAATCTGCCTTGGTATGTGAGATCTGTTTTTGTGTTTCCTATTATGTATATAGCTGTATTAATTACTGAATATGCAGTACCGAAGAAGAGAGTTATGGTTCCTATCTCCTAGGAGCTTATATTCAGTTGGAAGAAAAATACATTAAAAACCTAATTACAAAATGTATTATTTTAATTGTAATTGTAGCAAGTACAGGAAGATCAGAGAACATATGCTGAGCAGGTGAGATGAATCTCCTGTAGGTCAGGAAGCTGCACTCTAGAAATGACTCCCGCTGTAGTCCGCAACCCCCGGGCTGCAGCCTGGGACTGGGCCGTGGACTGCTAGGAAACGGGCCGTGCGTGCATCACCGTCTGAGCTCTGCAGCCCCTTAAAACCGCCCCCAAACCCGGTACGTGGAACTGGTCTTCCGTGAAACTGGTCTCTGGTGGTTTTCAGACCAGGGACCGCTGCAAGTCAGGGATCAGAAAAAGAACCTATGGAAGAATACAACGGTCAAGGTTGTTCAGTGGAAAGGAGAATTAGAGAAACTTCAAGAAAACTGGTATGGCTAAAATGCAGAGGAAAAGGAATATATATATATATATATATATACACACACACACACACATATATATATATATATATATATATATATATATATATATAATGTATGTATGTATAAGGAAATGGGATAATAAAAGACATGTAAATTCTCAGAGAAGTTGGCTTCCAAATCTGGCATAAACTGGAATTACACAATATTTTAACTCTTGATAATATAATTTCTCTGGGAGTATCACTGAACTCTAAACCACATTTTAAAATTTGGCTGTATAATAATTACCAATCTTTTTTAAAACGTAAGAACGAAGATAGCCTGAGTACAAAGCTGGGGCTAAAACGGCTAACTACTACATTTTATGACAAGGCAGAACAATGTTTCAGTTTAGTAGAAGAGCCAGTTTTCATGTTTTAAATAATAACTTTAAATTGGGTGAACCAACTGACAAGTTTGGTTTGGGTTTCAATGGCTTTAGAGGTACAATAACTGTACGCAGCTACGGTGTTAACCCCTGAAAAAAACTCGATGAGAAGGGTGGGAAAGCAAGGAAACAACAAAAAAGACGAAAATATCTACTTGACTTGGGTGTGGCTGGCTGCCTGTCTTGGACTCCTACTGGGAGTAGGGCCCCTGTTGTTTTCAAAAGGTAGACTTTTTAGAATGAAAAATAGAGGAAAACAATTAGGTATTTCCCCCCCTGACAAAAGAGGAAATTTCAATTTAAAATATTTGATGCTTAAAATAGAAGAGAAAAAAAAAAAAGAAAAAAGGTCTTAAGAGTGTTTTTTTCCTTTCTAAATCTGGCAATCCACTGAAAGTGAAGAGTTTGAGCTGAGCAGCATTGTCATCTCCATGGGGTCTGTAATGAATTTGCACATTTTACTCCAACTACTGTATATCTAATCAGAAAAAGATGTCCCCCATCCCCTGATCTAGCGCCAAGCAGTAAAAGGTGATTCCTTATGTTAACAATTTCAGCAGAATGGCTTATTAAAACCAGATTTTAGGGTATTATAAAATGCTTAGAAGCCCTTTAAAATGTCAACTAGGATCCCCAGAGACTACGTAAAATGTCAACCCAGCTCAAGCGCCTGTTTTAAGCAGAATGAATTAGCGGCATGCTGTCGGAGGCTGTTATCCAAAATAATCAGCAAAGAGGAAAACATCAAGCTTTCTTTGTACTTTTATATGAAATGGGCCATTCAGAATGATCTTGTGGATATTTGAAGATCACTTATTTATTTAAAACTATGGCTAAATATTGACGTCCCAAACACCTCAGTGTTTTATTTTTTCCTAAATGTTATATCTTTAATTAATACAATTTCATCAAAAAAGACTGAAATTAGGAAGCATTCTCTTTCATGTTGACTTTATGATATAATCATGTGGTCATTCTCATATTCTCTCCTTCAAACCAGAAAGAAATTTTCTTAGCCAGTCATCTCTTTTTCATAAAGGCTTTTGCTGTATTTCCTCAAATATTATTTCATGTCATGGAAACTGATACTTCTCTTACACTTAGCATAAAATTTTAAATAGTGATTATCACTTTGGTTAGTGTTCAGACACATGAATTTAGTGACATAAAGATAGTTTATAAATCTTAGTATTTAGCTTGTTTTTTTATTTTGACATTTTTGGATTTCTAGTTTGGAAGTAACTAATATATCAAAATATGAGATATGTTTACATATTCTTTTCTAGAGTTTTTCCAAATGAAACAGGTATATTGTTTTTTAAAGATGGGAAATTTCAGCCGGGCGCGGTGGCTCACGCCTGTAATCCTAGCACTCTGGGAGGCAGAGGCAGGCAGATTGCTCAAGGTCAGGAGTTCAAAACCAGCCTGAGCAAAAGCGAGACCCCATCTCTACTATAAATAGAAAGAAATTAATTGGCCAACTAATATATATAGAAAAAATTAGCCGGGCATGGTGGCGCATGCCTGTAGTCCCAGCTACTCGGGAGGCTGAGGCAGAAGGATTGCTTGAGCCCAGGAGGTTGAGGTTGCCATAAGCTAGGCTGAGGCCATGGCACTCACTCTAGCCTGGGCAACAAAGTGAGACTCTGTCTCAAAAAAAATTAAAAAAAAAAAAAAGATGGGAAATTTCAGAGGAAAGTAGAATATAGCCATAAAAAGAAAAAATAGATCAGAGATGGTAGGGTTGTAAGAAATATGTATTTTCTTCTTGATCAGTTCCAGTTTTTGATTATGCATTGATATATATTTTTCCACATAGATTTTCATATTTTCTATATACCGAAAGCCACACATGCTCCTGTCTTTTGGGATAACATTCATCTACATATTTCAAAATCATTTTAGGTAAAATTTCAGATACAAGTTTAAGTGGCTATGGTTTTTGTTTGTTTTGATCTTATTAGAAATGCACATTGTGGACTGTGTAGCGTTTATTATCTTTTTGAAAATAGGGGATCATGAAAACAATTGTATATGTTTAGTAATCACTTTTAGACAATCAGCTCCTTAATGCAAAGAACCAAAAGGAATACTACCTTCCTAAACTACATGGAATTCCAAGTACATTATGGATTTTAATAAAGCTTTAATAATTCTGACAAATTTTGTTACTTATTTGTTAAAGCTAAAATTTTCTGATAGAGTTGAGTATTTTTATTCTGTTTTTATTATTTATATCTTAGAAGCCAGAGAATTAATAACCAAAATTTGCTTAGGTTGTCTAGCACCTGGCCACCAGGCTACTTGAAGATGAGGTTAAAGATGGTGAGATGAAGATGATAATCACAATGAGAATGATAATAATATCAAAAGAATGGCATAAAAAAAAAGAAATCTTCCCTTCTTTTTTTTTCTGGGACTATTAATAAAGTTGGTCTATAATAACACTCTTTATAATTGCTACCATACTTCTCCACCCATTTTTTCTGTGTACTTCAGTGTCTATGTATGTAGAGTAAATGTGTGCTTTGTTTTCTGTTAAGCTGAAAGCTGCAATGGCTGGAAAATTCCCTTTTTAATAATACTGAAAATTATTAAAAGTTACTAAGTATTACTAAAAGTACCTTTGGTACCTAAGGTTTCTAAAAGTATGAATTTAAAAATGTACACTTTACATTTTCTTGTGTTCTGAGAATCTAAACTGATTTTCAATTATAGCACAAACATCATCCCCACCTCCACCCTCACCCCCACAATATGAGGAATTCTACAAACAAAACTCCTTAACCGTATGTTACAAAGGATTATGAAAGAAGAGACCTTAAGATTAACAGGAACCTGTGCATAGTTCTCAAGAAAAGGAATAAAAATGGTCAATACTAATATCTAGTGGCTCATGGGAAAGCAACTTTTTTCTCAGTGTTAGTGAAAATATTTCTAGATTTTTGAAGAAAACATTACAATAATCTGTACAAAGGAACACAGCTAAATTAGCTGTAGAAATTGGGCACATTTCTCAATGAACATAGAATGCTTCCATCAGAAGAATCTTCAGTGATGATGCCTATTTTTTGGATAAGCAGATATACCATGAACTATCTGGCCTCCAAATCCAGTATCCTTTCACAACTGCAGAAAATAGAACAGTACATTTGTTCCATATATTCCTTAAGTCTTAAGGCTTTTCTTACCCAATATCTTGCTGATGTTGGAGTTGTGCATGTCAGGAAAGGCTTGAAGGATTTTCCTCCGTTCATCTTTAGCCCACACCATGAAGGCATTCATTGGACGCTTTATATGGGGTTCATTGCTACCACGCCCCCTGGATTCCCTATAAATTCTTGACTCTGAGACTCCAGCACTTCCTAGAACAGGGAATATCACTTCATGTTAGTGTTAAATTTTTTGGCAACTACTCTTTCTTACATTACTGTGTTTTAGTCTATTAAAATATCTGAAAACAAAAAGTACTTTTGATAATGGTACTTCCAGTTCTTAAGACAGCTGCTTGTTTATAAGGTTTTTGTGATAAGCCTTGTGGTGGCAAATGTTGTATTTGTATTTCTAATCCATTTCTAATCTGTTTTCCCTTTCTTTCAATGGACTATGGACTGTTTCACCAGTTTCTTTCAAGAGCTCACAAGAAACTTGAATGCATAATTTTTGATGCAGAGAATGGTTAGATTAAATCAACAGTCATGCCAGTACTGTCGATTACTGTAAATATTAAATAGGTAAAGCAGTTCAAAAAACCAGGAAACACTAATCTTCTTGGCCGAATGGATGCTTATAGGTGAGGATATATCTTTGCTGCTTAAAGCCTGTCAGAACACAGAGTACTCAGGCCCTTTTCCTCTCTCTGAGTTTACATAAGTAAAGATACTGCTAGGTAAGATTTTGCAATTAAAATACAATATACATATTTCATTGTAATATGCTTTTCTTCTCTTTGAAATTGTGTGCTAACAAATGCATGATATATGCTGATGTAGCAATGATAGGTCTGCCCCTAAAAAGGTATGTAAAAATGGTAAGGAAAAGAACAAACAAATAGTTACATTACTGTGGTTTCTAAAGGAGTCTACTGTCACATGTTTGAGGTGAGAAAAATAATGTATTCCTCTGAATTTTTCCCCTAACATCTGAGATTATTCAAAGAGACCCACTGATAATTACTTCTCAATCAGTAGGATTCACTGATGATAAAACACAACCCAAGAGTCGCAATTAAACCTCTGGACACTGCAGTTACTCTTCTAGTCTTATAGGACTTCTTAGAATGGATTCAGTAGATTAAACAGCTTCCAAGATACTTGAGAACAGGCAAAGAAAATAAGGAGAACCAGAAGAAAATGTAGAACTCTGATAGTAGGTTTTTACTGGTTATCATCACACACAAAAAAATGGAGTAGCTCTATTTTGGTAATATCTAAACATTTAAAATACTTTGGGGATTTGTAGAGCTTGTATTATCAATAAAAGCACTCTTTGGTTTTCTTCTTTTCTTCCTCTTTTCTTTTCTTAATTTGAAGGCATAGGAGTCAACCAAAATTACCCAGACTTGAAGACCTCTATATTAGTAAACAAAAAACACAGCATATCTGTTGGTGGTGGTTCTCAATATTTCTCATTCATAACAAGCTCTCTGGTCTGACGAAAGATGGAAAATATTTCACATACAAGCACAACTGAATTTAACGACTAACAGCAACAAAAACTTTGATGTTTTAATGCTGATTACTATGGGTATATTTTGTCATGCTAATACAACTTAAAATTTATGAAATGTGTTATTACCAGTAATTGTCTTTTTATTGACAAAATGAGTGCTAATATATAGCAACATCTTTCCAAAATGGGTTTGTAACTAGCAAATGATCATTTGCACATCTGCCTTTTCTTGTTCTTACACCTTACAGCAACATAAGCAATAAAATGAACATTATGTGACTTCATCAAATCTAAACAAGCTCTTTGCATGCACTTAGGCCAGGTTTATTTTAGCCAAATGGAGTAGAAAATGGAAGGAAATGTTTGGATACATTAAACAAGAAAAAGGCAGATTTTTCTTGGCTATCAGTTTTCAGTTTTGACAGAATTATGTGGTTAAATGTTGAGCTTTGGCTACTCCCTTGGCTAAGTGCAGACCTGGATTTAAAAGTAGAACTGGCCCAAGGCAGCTGGAGTAGAGGGAGTAGATAGCAGTGCATGTTGGAGGATTCCAGTGGACCCCCTCTCTCCTGAAGTATGCTGCTTACTGAGTTTCCCTGGGGCAGTCTTTTCTATAATGCAGGGGAACTTCCTTGTTATAGTAGCAACATTAAAGGCTGTGCCACCAAAGGAACTCTTAAAAAGCATGTATTTCACCTAACACTGAAGCCAGGTTCCCAGTCAAGGCACTGTATAAGAACAGCACTTTCTTCTTTTTCCCTCTTTGCTATGCTATTAAAATTAGAGTAGCAACTTAATTCGATGTCACTGTGGATGCTCAGAAGGTTCATAGACCATAAAAACAACACAATCTTGAGGCATATGAGGGAAGCAGGAAGCTTTTCAGCTGGATTCTAGTTAAGTTACAGATAGCAGGCAGGATACTTGACTGTGTGGTAGATAGTAAAGGAGGGAAAAGTATCCAAAATGGGAAACAAACAAACAAACAAAAAAAAACAAGACTATGTACTTTTGAGCTATGTATTCCGATCAGGGCTTGACAAATAGAAACTTAAAAATGAGCTGATAGGTACAAATTTTTGAAGAGTGCGTTTTGGGTACAAGAAATAGGGAAGTGAGAGACACGGTAGATGGTGATTAAGAGCATTTGCTTCAGAATCATGCCATCTTAAATCCAAGTCCAGCTTCTGCCACTCAAAGCCCTGTGACCTTGGAAAAAATAACTTCAAAACTCTTAAGGGTCAGTCCTTCTCTGCAGTAAGTAGTACTTATCTCATAGGTAGTGCTAGGAATTAAGTGAGATGACTTATGCAAAGGACTCAGTGGAGAGCCGGGCACATGGGAACATGTGACCTCTTATTGTAATGATCAGGGATGAGGTGGCTGTCTTGTCTATTTTTTTTTTTTGGCAGTTTTAAATTGCACTAAATGGACACTTCTGCACATTACTGGAATATATATGAATAATTTTCACAAACCATCAGAATCTCCACTCAGATTGAAATCCATCATTGCATGGCTAAATTTTCCTTCTTCATTCTGTTTAACTGCCAGTTGCTGAGTCAGACTCTCCAGTGTTGTTTTTTCCTTAAAAGAAAAATATATAATGAGAGTTCAATCTGGAAATTATAATTATTTGAAGACATTTTTTTTTTGGACCATATGCACTACACATTAGCTTCTGGAAAGGACAGGATGTTGATTTGTTCACCTTTGCATGTGCAGCACCTTACACTGAGGTAATTAAAGGGAGGATCAGCAAGATTTTTGAAGGATCTTTGAGTCGTATAGACCTCTATGACTTCATGGCATTTGGGTTTGGTATGCCTAAAGGATACAGGCTGGGATCCTTGGAGACAACCTCACCAAATCACAAGATGCGTGCAGAAATTTCATGGAGGCAACCTGTTTTGTATTTGGAATGTCTGCTTTATTTTTAGCCAAACAGTAGAAGTATAGGAGTGGCATGAGGCCCAGAGAACACCTTCCAATAGTCAGGTGATCAAATGATAGAAACGTGATTCATAGTAGTGCCCTCTGGTTGCCATCTTCCCAAATGCCATCTGCATTCCTCATGCAAGGGTAATGAAGACGTTTAAATATTCATTGCTAATTGCTTGTCAAGTCTCTGTACATCCAATGTGAGTGCCTGCTACTTGGACCACAATTTGATTTGGATTGCTAAGCCAAAATATTGAGTTGGCGAATTATTTGAGATACAAATATACCAAAATTAGATCTGCGGAGACATCAAGTCATTTAAAAGCCTGCAGTACACGATTTACATTCATGGAGAACAGGGCATTACACAATAAATTATTTTCAAGAAAAATATAATGCTTAATCCAAATCACAAGAGATATTGAACTATTTCCAAATTAAGAAACTAAGTGATTTTTAGGAACAGAGAAAAGCATACAATGAAGAGTTGACAACTTTCTCTTGAACAATTCCAGCACTGCTCCGAGGATGATGTGGTTCCAAAACAGTTTTAAGAAAAGCATCTATTGGATCTCAGAACGTTTGCTCATGTTTCTTGATAATTATTCACCTCATTTTCGGAAGAAAACAGTCACGAGAGGTGCTAGTGAACCTCACATACTTCAGAACTGCTACTGATACATTAAATGTTCATAGAAAATAATCAACCATTTAAGATAATTATATTATAGGTTAAGGGCCTAACTGATGTTCCCACTAAGAACTAAGAGGATATTGAAATTCTTAATATGGTACATGCTTTATCTCTATAGAATCTCTGACAATATTTACAATGTACATACTAGATTAAAAATTCTCTTAAGTCAGTGGCCTTGGAACTCCTGTACTCTATTTATTAAAGTCTGTACATTATTTAGTAGAAAAGCATTTTTAAATTGTTAATCAGTATAACTTATAATAGGGAAACTAGAAACAAATAACTTACATTAACTTTGGTTCAACAGATTTATATAGTATTAAAGTTGAAATAAATTATATATCTAAAAATGTAGAATCTGACTCAATTTGTTTTGTGTATGAAATTGGTGTTTTTGACTGTTTTCTGTGTTCCTGATTTCCTTTGCTGAGAGAGTTTGCTGTATATATTTAGCTGAGCTCGGGAGCACCAAGGGCACTGGCTTAACAGCTTCCTGTAAATATAGCTGTTAAAACAAAAGACAACTACATTAAAAAAACAAAAAGCCCCATTCCATCAACATGATCTGAAAGTCCCCGTGTCAATGAATACTGTACTCTCTTTTGGGGATGTACTGGTCTTGATCGCCTCTCAGGTTTTGATTTAACAGTGTAGAGGGCGATATGACTACACATTTTCCAGAGAGTTTTCCACTCTGAAGCAGTCTTTCAAGAAGAAAAAGCAAATTGAAGGCAACTAGAGTAGAAAAAGAATGAAATGCTAAGCAACTTCTAAGGTTCTGAGTTCAGCCCTATGGATCTTGTGCCATATTACCAAGAGACTAAAATTAGCAAGTGGTGAGCAGGGAAGTCACAATCAGTTTTTGCAATAAATACAATCTAAATATCCACCTCTAAAGCACATAGTATAAGAAAAGGATTCAATTAGCTACCCCAAAGTGGAGCTTACTATACTTCTCAGGAAGATGGCAGTGGGAGATGGTGGAAGTCCACATGGTAAGCTGCACTTTTTTGGAACCTTTTGTATAGTCATTTAAGCTAATTCTCAGACATGTGAACAGGAAAAAGGAGAGGTGACTAGAGGAATTGGAGAACAGGTGGTGTGCCTTTAATTAAAATGCATTACAATAGCATATAAATCAAAGTGGTAACATTTCCACATTTTAGGAAAACTAGCAGACAGTAAATTCAGAAGAAATAATTAATGTCAGGACATAATAATAACCAAAGTGGAAAACAATCAACCGATAATCCCATATGAAAACTGATTCTATAGTTACAGCTGACATGTAGTTCTTATGTATAGAGGTAGGTATACATTTATATGTGGACAGGGGTCTAGCTAAAATATTGAGCCACCAAAAGAATGAGCTGGAATTAAGAATAGTTTTCAAAAGTTTAAATTCAACCTACTCAGGCATATAGGAGAAAGAATCAGCCAAATGTTATAAAGCAGAAGTGCTGGTACACTGGAAAAAGCCCACCCACTCTACCTTTTTCCATCCCACATGTCCCAAGCTGTCTGCTCCCCAGAAGACTTCACCTATGCACATGTCTAAAACGCAACCATTTAAGATTCTGTTCTTTAGGTTAAATATGTTCTTTTCCAAAAGCCTCTTTTTGGCCAGGCATGGTGGCACACACCTGTAGTCCCAGCTACTCAGGAGACTGAAGTGGGAGGATTGTTTGAGCCCAGGAGTTCAAGGCTGCAGTGAGCTATGATCATGCCACTGCACACCAGCCTGGGTGACAGAGAGACTCTGTCTCTAAAAAAAAAAAAAAAAAAATAATGAAACTAATAAAAGTTCTAAAAGCCTCTTTTCATATGTGCAAATACTACTGGAAAAGGTGATATTTTGAGTCTCAAAGTTCTTATACTTAGAGGCAGCTGAAACAGAACAAAAGCAGTAGATAACAGGTAGGAAGAGACGTTAAGTGGGAAGATGTTGAAAATGGGAAACACCAAAGAAACCGATTTTGGGAAAAAAAGAACTGAATGTTGATGGGCATGGGTGACAATTTTCACCAATCTGATAATCTTAGTTCTAACTGGCTCTGATTAAATCATGCTAGCTAGGAATTTGTACAGAAAAACAGCATCCTATTCCTGCATTTTAAGTTTGGTATTCTGGAACACAAATTCAGTGTAGCAATTATACTTTACTGCATTGTCATTACTATTCAAATGCTGATATAAAAATGACAAGATTCATTGGTCATCTCTGCCCTACCTTATTTTTATTAGAAAGAAAGCAAAAATAAAAGAAAAATAAACATATTTACAGAAATATTTGCCAAAATATTGAACTGCTCTGAGTAATCTCCCAAGTACAGGGGACAAAGAGACTAATTACAACAAAGTAGTCAAAATGAAAAAGTCCTAGAGATTTATAGGTAAAGGCCAAACAAGATGACCTGTATGCTTTCTCTCTTGAATAAAAACTAACAATTGGCTATCAATCAATTGGATAGATGAGTCCTATCTGGCTAATGAAATCTTATACAATTCTTCAGATTTGCTAAGATCAAGGGGAAACATTAGGTTATGTCTCTTTTTACTTCAAAAATCTTCTGATTCTATGTTGACTTGAAAAAGATCCAAGTGAATTGTATCTTGTCTACGGAAGAAATGAAAGTTGTAGACCATATAGTTAGTTTCTTGGACTCGAATGAATAACTTCTAAAATTCTACATCTAAAGAACTAATATTAATGTATTAATATTTACTTGGGGAAGTTGGTAGCTGGTCTTGTGTTTTGTGACTTACCCAATGACTTGCATAGTGGAAAACTCTATGTATATTGCTTGCACCTGACACAAGGCTATAGTGGGAATTAACCAGGAGAGACATGAAATTTCTAAAGATGTAGGCAATTAGTTGGTTAGAAGTGGTTGGTATAGACCCACACTTTCTATATCAAAAACCATTCTGAATGATTAAAGGCCACATGATTAATGGGAAGATGACATATCTAGGGTTGGAAAATAATGGGTTTTGGCATCAGGGACATCACATTGCAAACAAACTCTGCCATATATATTAGCCATATTGCTTTAGACAAATCAGTTGACCTCCCTGAGTCCCAGAATCCTCATCTGCAATATGTCAGTTGAATAGATGATAGATTCTCATTAGTCTGAAAAATTTTAGAAATGCTTTTAATATTATTAAAAACCCCAATGTGGAAAATTGAAAAGATAAAGATTCTTCCTAACATATAAGAATTATATATTAATTAATTTGAGTATTAAGAACCTATTACGATTATGATTCTCTATTCTCTATGGCTGTGGTCCCCAGCCTCTAAGCCCCAGGGACCAGTACTGGCCTGTGTCCTGTTAGGGACTGGGCTCAGAGCTCCCCTGTGCCCCACCCCTGTCTGTGGAAAAATTGTCTTCCATGAAACCAGTCCCTAGTGCCAAAAAGGGTGGGAACCACTGCTCTACGGTCAGACAAATATGCATTAAAAAAGAGAATTTTAGTAACAACTCTAAATATTGTTGAAATTTTCCCCCTCTTATCTATCATCCACTGCAATGTATTTAATCATTATATTTTTCCATTTTATACTAAGGCACGATGAGTTACAGTTCCATAATATAAGCCTAGTACATACCTACATTGAAAACTTTCCCTACTCCATTACTTCAACTTGCACTAAAACAACTAAAAATTCAGCTTTTGCAAAGCCTTAAATGGGCCTTTCTTGATATTTTACAAAGCAGGCAAAACAAAAGAACACACAACTAACTGTACTTTAGAGAAGGCAGACATTTCCTTAGTTACCTAATCCTAAACTAAACAGTGCATGAGTAGATACATCTTCTATTGCTCCCTGAAATTGGGATTCATGTAAGTGATGAGCTTTGTTCCCCACCAGCCTCACATGCACAAAGAGAGAGATGGGCTGTGGATCAGCTCTCATAATGGACATCCCTGAAATAAAGCT